ACAGAGATAACCACTGAGCAGGAAGACGACAAAGCACCCGTTGTCTCCGTACACTCAACTGAACACATCACAGACGAGACACTCACTCCATTTGACACTTCACTAGTTACCGACACAGCAAAATTGATCGAAGAGGAACCTGAGAAGGTTCAGGTCACTCAGATACGCACGGACACCGGCGACGTCAAAACAGTCAAGGTCTCTAAGCGCGTCATCAAGAAGAAGCACGGTCCGAAGCAACAAGTAACTGAAATCACCACGACGCAGCAGGACGACGAGGCTCCAGTCACGACGGTCAGCGTGACCGAAGAACCAGTGCCCGAGCAGGAGGTCACCCCCATCGAGACTGTAGAGCTACCGGAGGAAACCGCCGTCGAAGAAATACAAACCCCCGAGGGTAAAAAGGTGGTCAAGAAAACCACAAAGCGCATCGTGAGGAAGAAGGGCCCGAAACAAGAAACCGTCGAGGTCACAACTACGCAGGAGGACGACAAGGAGCCAGTTACATCCGTCAACATTGTCGAAGAAACGCCCACCGAAGACACGCCAGCCGAAGTTGTTGAATTACCTGAACAAACGACCGTTGAAGAACTCGAAACGCCTGAAGGTAAGACTGTACACAAGAAAATCACAAAACGCATTATCAAAAAGAAGGTAGGCCCCAAGACACAAACAACAGAGATAACCACTGAGCAGGAAGACGACAAAGCACCCGTTGTCTCCGTACACTCAACTGAACACATCACAGACGAGACACTCACTCCATTTGACACTTCACTAGTTACCGACACAGCAAAATTGATCGAAGAGGAACCTGAGAAGGTTCAGGTCACTCAGGTACGCACGGACACCGGCGACGTCAAAACAGTCAAGGTCTCTAAGCGCGTCATCAAGAAGAAGCACGGTCCGAAGCAACAAGTAACTGAAATCACCACGACGCAGCAGGACGACGAGGCTCCAGTCACGACGGTCAGCGTGACCGAAGAACCAGTGCCCGAGCAGGAGGTCACCCCCATCGAGACTGTAGAGCTACCGGAGGAAACCGCCGTCGAAGAAATACAAACCCCCGAGGGTAAAAAGGTGGTCAAGAAAACCACAAAGCGCATCGTGAGGAAGAAGGGCCCGAAACAAGAAACCGTCGAGGTCACAACTACGCAGGAGGACGACAAGGAGCCAGTTACATCCGTCAACATTGTCGAAGAAACGCCCACCGAAGACACGCCAGCCGAAGTTGTTGAATTACCTGAACAAACGACCGTTGAAGAACTCGAAACGCCTGAAGGTAAGACTGTACACAAGAAAATCACAAAACGCATTATCAAAAAGAAGGTAGGCCCCAAGACACAAACAACAGAGATAACCACTGAGCAGGAAGACGACAAAGCACCCGTTGTCTCCGTACACTCAACTGAACACATCACAGACGAGACACTCACTCCATTTGACACTTCACTAGTTACCGACACAGCAAAATTGATCGAAGAGGAACCTGAGAAGGTTCAGGTCACTCAGGTACGCACGGACACCGGCGACGTCAAAACAGTCAAGGTCTCTAAGCGCGTCATCAAGAAGAAGCACGGTCCGAAGCAACAAGTAACTGAAATCACCACGACGCAGCAGGACGACGAGGCTCCAGTCACGACGGTCAGCGTGACCGAAGAACCAGTGCCCGAGCAGGAGGTCACCCCCATCGAGACTGTAGAGCTACCGGAGGAAACCGCCGTCGAAGAAATACAAACCCCCGAGGGTAAAAAGGTGGTCAAGAAAACCACAAAGCGCATCGTGAGGAAGAAGGGCCCGAAACAAGAAACCGTCGAGGTCACAACTACGCAGGAGGACGACAAGGAGCCAGTTACATCCGTCAACATTGTCGAAGAAACGCCCACCGAAGACACGCCAGCCGAAGTTGTTGAATTACCTGAACAAACGACCGTTGAAGAACTCGAAACGCCTGAAGGTAAGACTGTACACAAGAAAATCACAAAACGCATTATCAAAAAGAAGGTAGGCCCCAAGACACAAACAACAGAGATAACCACTGAGCAGGAAGACGACAAAGCACCCGTTGTCTCCGTACACTCAACTGAACACATCACAGACGAGACACTCACTCCATTTGACACTTCACTAGTTACCGACACAGCAAAATTGATCGAAGAGGAACCTGAGAAGGTTCAGGTCACTCAGGTACGCACGGACACCGGCGACGTCAAAACAGTCAAGGTCTCTAAGCGCGTCATCAAGAAGAAGCACGGTCCGAAGCAACAAGTAACTGAAATCACCACGACGCAGCAGGACGACGAGGCTCCAGTCACGACGGTCAGCGTGACCGAAGAACCAGTGCCCGAGCAGGAGGTCACCCCCATCGAGACTGTAGAGCTACCGGAGGAAACCGCCGTCGAAGAAATACAAACCCCCGAGGGTAAAAAGGTGGTCAAGAAAACCACAAAGCGCATCGTGAGGAAGAAGGGCCCGAAACAAGAAACCGTCGAGGTCACAACTACGCAGGAGGACGACAAGGAGCCAGTTACATCCGTCAACATTGTCGAAGAAACGCCCACCGAAGACACGCCAGCCGAAGTTGTTGAATTACCTGAACAAACGACCGTTGAAGAACTCGAAACGCCTGAAGGTAAGACTGTACACAAGAAAATCACAAAACGCATTATCAAAAAGAAGGTAGGCCCCAAGACACAAACAACAGAGATAACCACTGAGCAGGAAGACGACAAAGCACCCGTTGTCTCCGTACACTCAACTGAACACATCACAGACGAGACACTCACTCCATTTGACACTTCACTAGTTACCGACACAGCAAAATTGATCGAAGAGGAACCTGAGAAGGTTCAGGTCACTCAGGTACGCACGGACACCGGCGACGTCAAAACAGTCAAGGTCTCTAAGCGCGTCATCAAGAAGAAGCACGGTCCGAAGCAACAAGTAACTGAAATCACCACGACGCAGCAGGACGACGAGGCTCCAGTCACGACGGTCAGCGTGACCGAAGAACCAGTGCCCGAGCAGGAGGTCACCCCCATCGAGACTGTAGAGCTACCGGAGGAAACCGCCGTCGAAGAAATACAAACCCCCGAGGGTAAAAAGGTGGTCAAGAAAACCACAAAGCGCATCGTGAGGAAGAAGGGCCCGAAACAAGAAACCGTCGAGGTCACAACTACGCAGGAGGACGACAAGGAGCCAGTTACATCCGTCAACATTGTCGAAGAAACGCCCACCGAAGACACGCCAGCCGAAGTTGTTGAATTACCTGAACAAACGACCGTTGAAGAACTCGAAACGCCTGAAGGTAAGACTGTACACAAGAAAATCACAAAACGCATTATCAAAAGAAGGTAGGCCCCAAGACACAAACCACACACATCACAACAGAACAGGAAGACGACAAAGCACCTGTCGTCTCCGTACACACAACAGAACACATCACAGATGACACACTCACTCCATTTGACACATCACTAGTCACCGACACAGCAAAATTGATCGAAGAGGAACCTGAGAAGGTTCAGGTCACTCAGGTACGCACGGACACCGGCGACGTCAAAACAGTCAAGGTTTCTAAGCGCGTCATCAAGAAGAAGCACGGCCCGAAGCAACAAGTAACTGA